CCTCCAGGCAGGTCCTGGCTCCCCCTTCACAGTGCATGAGGGCTCAGCAAACACTGTGTGTGTGCGTGTGTGTGGAGGTGGGGTTCTGGGGACGCCACACTGCCGGCCCTCCCCCAGGACGGAACGAGTGTCGGGAGATCCCAAACGTCTGTAGTCATGGCGACTGCGTGGACACAGAGGGCAGCTACACATGCCTTTGTCACCGTGGCTTCCGCGCCTCGGCGGACCAGACCCTGTGCTTGGGTGAGAGTCCCTTCCCGCTTCCTCCTGGAGAGCCAGGCTGCCAAGCGAGGCTGGGGTGGCGGCCCCAAGTCTGCACCTCCCCTGGGGTGAGGACAGTGCTTTCAACCACGTGGTCCACAGACAGACCCAGCTTTGAGTCCCGGCACTTAAGACCTTGGGTAAATGACTTACTGAACTCCTTGGGCCTCAGTTTGCAAAATGGGAGTGATAAATTGTTCCAGGCGCACTTTTCAGCCATCACCCCCCAGGTGGCCCTGCCCATCCACCTGGACAGGGCTGGGTGCAGGGGAGGTGGGCTGGGTCCGGCCAGGCCCTCCCGCTCCCTCCCTGCGCTGCCCGATGCCCTGGGTGACCCGGATGGGGCTTGGGGGCTTTGCTCTGGCAGACGTCGACGAGTGTGACCAGCAGCCGTGTGGAAATGGGACCTGTAAGAACATTGTCGGCTCCTACAACTGCCTCTGCTTCCCCGGCTTCGTGGCAGCACCCAGTGGAGATTGCGTGGGTGAGCCACCTGGGATGGCGGGCAGGCCTCATTGCTCCCCCTGCCGAAAAGTGGGTCCTTGGCTTCAGGGTCCCCATCTGAAATAAAGGCTCTGGCCCCAGGGATCCCTTCAGAAAAACAACCCTCAGCGGTTGGTGTTCCTTCTAAAAATGAGTCAACCACAAAATTTCCCACACCTCTTCAATCGTCAGGTCCCGGGGCGGGGGGGGTCTCTTGCTAGAGTTTATGCTCAGCTTGATGGCGGCAGGTACAGGGAGGACAGCGAAGACCTGGGTGATGCTTACAGTTGAGTGCAGTGGTTAAAAGCATGCATTCCAAAGTCAGGCAGCATGAATCTAACCCCAGCTTTGCCACCTGCCTGCTGTGTGACCCCAGATAAGTCATCTACCTCTCTGGGCCTCAGTTTCCTCCTCTGCAAAAAAGGAGATTAATTGTAGTACCTACCTATATTAATCGTAGACCAAATAGACTGTAATTACAAGGAATATTACCAGAGATGAAGAGAGACCTCATATATTCAGGGGGCAATTCTCTGAGAAGACATAATCATAAATTCATATGCATCTAACAATAGAGCTTCAAAACATATGAAGTAAAAATGGACAGAACTGAAAAAGAAATAAGCCCACAGTTATAGCTGTAGACCTCAACACTCCTCCCTCAGGAAGAGAGGGGACAAGGAGAAAATCAGTAAGGCTAGGGAAGACCTGAACAACACTGTCAATCACCTAGACCTGGTCAGTATTTATAGAACATTCCAGAACATACATCCTTCTCAGGTGCACAAGGACATTTACCAGGAAAGCCCATATTCTGGGCCATAAAACAAACCTTAACAAACTTAAAAGAATTGGGATGCCTGGGTGGCTCAGTTGGTGAGGCGTCAGACTCTTGGTTTCAGCTCAGGTCATGATCTCAGAGTTTTGAGATCGAGCCCACGTCAGTCTCCCTGCTCAGCAGGGAGTCTGCTTCTCTCCCTCTGCGCCACCCCCCAAGCTCGTGTTTTCCCTCTCTCTCTCTCAAAATAAATAAATAAATCTTTAAAAAGAGAAACAAATTGAAAAGAATTGAAGTCATACAAAGTAGGTTCTCAGAATGTACGGGAATTAAAGTAGAAATCAGTCACAGAAAGGCATCCAGAAAAATCCCCAAATATTTGGAAACTAAACAACATTCTGCTAAAGAATCCTGAAATCAAGGAAGAAAGCATAAGGGAAATCAGAAAATATTTTGAATTAAGTGAAATTGGAAACAAAATGTGTGGGGTTTGCCTAATGGAGTACCCAGAGGCAAATTCATAGCATTAAGTGCTACAATATTGGTGTCGGCCTCATCAGAGAGTGGGAGGTTAATATACAGAGCCTAGCACATGAGTACATGATAAACTAAAGTCACCACGCCCAACTTAACTTCTGTTGCGGACGGAAGTGCAAGGGAGGCTCAGAGCCCCCGGACTGTGGGTGACCCCTGCTGCCCATACCCCTTCTGCAGACGTGGATGAGTGCACCACTCTGGTGGGGCAGGTGTGCCAATTTGGCCAGTGCCTTAACACAGCTGGCTCCTTCCACTGCATCTGCCAGGATGGCTTCGAGCTCACAGCCGACGGGAAGGACTGTGTGGGTGAGTCCCGCCTGGGGGTGGGGAAGCCATCTCTGCCAGCCCCCTGCTCCCAGCTTACCTGCGGTTGGTACTTCCAAGCGATCACGGTTCCATTTCATAATCATGCATTTATCTTAAGGTATAAAAAGAAAAAACTAGCGCATCCCACCTGTGTTTTCACGGGATTTGTGGTTTAGGGTAAGGCTGTCTTAAAAACCTAAGTTTTCTGAAGTAAAGAATAATCAAGGTGCTAGATGGATGCCACAGAATCCTGAAGGGGGTCTGTGTGTGGCTTAAGATTAGGAACCTTGCTCCTTCTTCCCCTGGACGCCCTGTGGCTTCACCCATAACCCCCACTTGAGGACCCAGAGGATCTTTCCCCAGCCGTCCCTGTTTTCCTGAGTCTCAGCCCTTCCCCTGGATCTAGGAGAACTTGTCCTGGGGCCCTTGGCCATCATGCAGTGACCATACGTGCTGGTCCCAGTCCCAAGCGAGCCCCTGTCACAGGCTGCTGCTGGGACCCCTCCTCTTCCTCTCCACAGACACCAACGAGTGTTTCAGCTTCACGGGAACCTGCCTGCCAGGCACTTGCCAGAACCTTGAGGGCTCCTTCCGCTGCGTCTGTCCCCCTGGCTTCCAGGTGCAGAATGACCGCTGTGTTGGTGAGTGTCCAGCCCCACCTCCTGCTCTGGGGCCAAGGAGGCATCTCCGGGCCTCTGTTTCCCCAACTGTAAAATGGGAATGCCACCTGGGATGTACTTAGCACAGCACCCAACACAGCTCCATACACAATTACTGGTACTAGGATCATTTTGGCTGCTTGGCCCAGGTTCTCTGTCTGGGGCCCACAGGCTTCCTCATGAGTCCTATGAAACAGGCATGGTCGTGGGGTCATCCCTTACTCGATGAGTGATGGTCAAGGTCAAGGACCAGTCTGGCCTGAGCTCCACTGGTGTAATTGCCCAACTGGGTGACTTTGTACCGCGTTGGCTAATCTGGACCGGTCTGGCCTCAGCAGATGGGCTAGCCTGGTACAGGGTGGGCTAACCTGGATCGGGCTACCCTAGCAGTTACCCTGAGCTAACTTTCTCCAGTGTAAGCTAAGTTTATCCAGTCTTGGGTAGCTTTGTACAAAGTTAGTCTCTAAAGACGAACTTTTCCTGACCATGACCCCTATCTTGGAGATACCTTCTAGGAGAGACCCCCACCCCCACCCGGCACAGCCCACCTGGTGCTCCAGCTCATGCTGAGTCCTGAGGGCCCCTGCCCTGCATCGGTCCCTGGACCCGCCCGGGCTGGGCCCCCACTCTGTCTGCCCCTCCTGGCAGCCGAGGCTGTCCCACTCTGGCGGAGGTCCTGCCTGCCCCCCACCCAGCTCGTGTCCCTACCCCTCCAGACACCGACGAGTGCTCGGAGGAGCCCAACCTCTGCCTCTTTGGCACCTGTACCAACAGCCCTGGGAGCTTCCAGTGCCTCTGCCCGCCTGGTTTCGTCCTCTCCGACAACGGGCACCGTTGCTTTGGTGAGTCTGTGGCCCAAAAGGCATACAGGGTTTAGAGGAGAGGTGGAAGGGAGGGAGAGAAGAGTTGGGTCCCCCAGCAAAGGGGGCTGGCTGCTGCCGTTTCCTGTGTGGATCTCCAGGAGCGCCGCCTGGGCAGAGGTGTTCCCTGCCTGAGTGGGGTTATTCGAGTCCAGACAACATGTTGGCCAGACAAGTCACTTCTGCGAAGGGCTATCCCAGTCCAGTCTGGGCTGACCCGCTCTCCTGGGCTTTGGTCGTCCTGTAGTGGCTTCAGGTGCCCTACCTGGGTTGGCTTCATCTCAGCTAGGCTAGCCTTGTCCAGTGTGGGCTAGCCTCCACCAATCCGAGCCAGCCTCTTCTCTCCCAGGTTAGAGGCAACAACGGCCTGGGCTGGGCAACTCAACCAGTGTTGGTCGTTCAGGTCCCAGCCTGCCCTGGAGGACTTCTCGGGCTGATGGGAGTCCAGGGCTGAGGACTGAGGGGCTCCACGACAAGGATTTGGGGTCTGAAGTCCCATGTCCTCTGGCTCTGGCTCTGCAGGAAGGGGCTTCTGAGCCAAGAATAGTGTGGCTGAGTTTGCTGTCCCTGGCAAGGGGGCACCCCCACAGCTGTGGATGTGGGGTGTTCCTGGAAGGGATCCCCCGTGGTCCAGGGGCTGACTCTCATTGGCCCAGGGCGGGTCACATGTCCGTCTCAGAGCCAATCACCACGGTCAGGGGCCTGGAGGGTTCTGATTGGCCATTGGTAGGGCTGGGGCCCCTCCCGTTCTTGGGGACCCGGGATCCGAGCAGGGCACCGCTGATGACCCTTCAAATGTTTCCCTGGGGATCACCCCACAGACACGCGGCAGAGTTTCTGCTTCACCCGTTTTGAGGCCGGGAGGTGCTCTGTGCCCAAAGCTTTCAACACCACCAAGGCCCAGTGCTGCTGCAGCCAGAGGCCTGGCGAGGGCTGGGACGACCCCTGTGAGCTGTGTCCTCAGGAGGGCAGCGGTGAGCGCCCCGCCCTGTCTAGTCTCCCCTTGGGTTCTGCCTGCCTGCCTGCCTGCCTGCCTGCATCGGTTTGGTTGCCTGCACCCGCTCAGGGGGTTCCTGGGGGCTGCACCGGCCCCCGACGCTCACCCCCTTCCCCTCTTGGTGTCCAGCTGCCTTTCAGGAGCTCTGCCCCTTTGGCCACGGGGCCGTCCCAGGCCCGGATGACTCTCGGGAAGGTGAGCCCCTCGCCCACGCGCTAAGGGCCCCTCCTCCGCCGCCCACTCTGCCTGGGCTCTGCCCCTCCCCCTTCCCAAGTCTCAGACTCCCTCGTCGACCAGTGGGTGGCCCTGGACCGCACGGGCCCCGGCGGGAAGGAAGAGCGCCTGAGTGTGGCTGGGGCGTGACAGGCGCCGTGCCGGCCACCCCTGCCGCCCACAGACGTGAACGAGTGTGCGGAGAGCCCCGGCGTCTGCACCAACGGCCTGTGCGTCAACACCGACGGCTCATTCCGCTGCGAGTGTCCCTTTGGCTACAGCCTGGACTTCACAGGCATCCGCTGTGTGGGTGCGTGACCAGCCCATGTCCCCTGGAAGGAAGGAGTGGGGTGGGCAGAGCAGGTGCCACCCGAGGCAGGATCCTGTCCCTCGGCCGCTGTCACTCTCCCCACCCGCTCAACCCTTCTCCGCGTGGTTCACTCACTCACTCACTCACTCACTCACTCACTCACTCACGCACTCAGGCCATCCGTTCACTCAGGCCGACACCCTGCGCCTGCCTGCCCTGCGTCCGGCCCAGAGGGGCCCCGGGCCTGGCCCTGTGTCGCTGCGGCGGTCGGTGGGGGGCGGACAGGACACTCTCGAAACGTCGAGGACAGGAGGCCCCCTGCAGGCCCTGACTGCCCCCTTCCCCCGCCCCCAGACACGGACGAGTGCTCCGTCGGGCACCCCTGCGGCCGAGGCACCTGCACCAACGTCATCGGAGGCTTCGAATGCGCCTGCGCCGACGGCTTCGAGCCTGGCCCCACGATGACCTGCGAGGGTAGACCCTGCCGGCCAGGAGCTGGGCTGCGGGGTGGGGGGCGCCCGGGGGCCGGCCTGGGGGCGGGGGCGTGGAGCCCGCAGGCCGACCCTGCCCAGCAGGCACCTGCTCTGGCCTCCGCAGACGTGGACGAGTGCTCCCTGAACCCCCTGCTCTGCGCCTTCCGCTGCCGCAACACCGAGGGCTCCTACGTGTGCACCTGCCCGGCCGGCTACGCCCTGCGGGAGGACGGCGCCATGTGCCGAGGTAGGACGGGCAGCGCTGGGGCGCGCTGGGCCGGGCCGGGCTCCCCGGGTCCTCCACGCCGTGGTCCTGGAGAAGACAGGTTGGTGAGAGCCTGGGCCGCCCGAGGCTGAGCAGAGCCCCGAGGCGCGTGGGGGGCAGCGGGCGCTCTGCTGTGAGTGGCCCTCTGTCGTCGGGAAAATGGGGTCCCGAGGCTCACAGGTCACTGGCTCTGGTGGCCTCTCCAGAGCTGAGCAGGACAGTGAGGACAGCAGCTGTGCCCCCCAGGGTAGGTGTGGCAATGTCTGGAGACAGTTTCTGTTGTCACAGTCGGGTGTGGGGGGTAGGACAGGCATCGAGTGGCCGGGGACGCTGCTCAATAGACCGCAGAGCTCAGAACGGCTGTCCACCACAAGGGGTTCTCCGGGCCCCAGTGTCCTTCGTGTCAGAGCCGAGCAGCTCTGGGCTGGGATTTGGGGCCTCCAGGGCTCCTTCAGTGCTCCGGGGACCATGGTGAAGGCCAGAGAGATTCACAGACCCTGATGTGGGCAGGGCATGCGGACGTGGGGGTGCTCCTGGAGCCCTCGGCTTCTCCAGGGGCCTGGGCACGTGGTAGTGCTGTGCCGACCTCACTCTGGCCCTGGCTGGGGCCCCCAGAGAGAGGTGGGATCCAGGCCCCCACAGCCTGGGGCCAGGCCACGGGGCGCCTGACCTTGGCCGCCCTCTCTCCCTGGTTACCCGCAGATGTGGACGAGTGTGCGGACGGTCAACAGGACTGCCACGAGCGGGGCATGCTGTGTAAGAACCTCATCGGCACCTTCGCCTGCGTCTGCCCCCCAGGCCTGCGGCCTCAGCCCAGCTCCGGGGAGGGCTGCACAGGTATGGGGGTGCTTTGGGGGTGCGGGGACACCCCCGGGGGAGAGAAGTCAAAGCAAGAGAATGCGGCGGGAGGGGACGCTCCAGGGCGAGGGGAGGCTGGCCTGGGGGGCTCTGGCCTCCCCGGCGGCCTGCCTCATCCCTCCCACCGCAGATGAGGATGAATGTCGTGCCCAGCCCAGCCTGTGTACCAACGGACACTGTATCAACACCGCGGGCAGCTTCCAGTGTGACTGCAACAAGGGTTTCCGGCTCAGCCCCGCCGGCACCGAGTGTCATGGTGAGTGTGGCCGGGCACGGTGGGCACAGCCACCCCCACGTGGCGCTGCCGCCTGGGAGCGCCCCAAGCCAGCGCCCCCGACAGGGTCACCCCAGAGCCAGCTCAGCCCCTTGCCTCCCGAGCCCCGTCTCGGCGATGCCCCAGCGCCGGGCTGGGGACGCAGGCCAGCCCCCTGGAGTCACCGACAGCCCCCTCTTCCTCACCCACTCCAGTCTCCAGCCTGTCCCCTCCACGTCCGGTCCCTGGATGTCATCCATCTGCTCGGTCCCCACTGTGTGTCCAGCATGCCTCCACGTGCCTCCTCCCCAGTGTTCCCTGGCCTCCACGCTGCCCTTGACCGTGCATGGTCTCTGCGGCCGGGAGATGCTGCCCTTTGCCCTCAGGAAGCCGCCCAGCTCTGCAGCCACAGGGCATCTCTCTGACCCTTTGGGTTTGCGGCGGTCCCAGCCCCCGCCCACAGAGGGCATCTAACAGAGCCAGGGGACGGTGGTCGGGAGGGTTTCACCCCGTGCCCACGCATAGCGTGTCAGAGACATCCGGGAGCCCTTGGTAGATTCTCGGGGCCGCCGGATGCCCCGGGGAAGGGGACCCCCCGACAGCCCGTTTATCCCGCCCACCGCCCCCGCCCGCTCCCCACAGACGTCCGGCAGGGGCCCTGCTTCTCCGAGGTGCTGCAGGCCGTGTGCCAGGCTCAGTCGAGCAGCGGTGAGGCCGTCACGAGGGCCCAGTGCTGCTGTGGGGGCGGCCGGGGCTGGGGGCCCCGCTGTGTGCTCTGTCCCCTGCCTGGCACCTCTGCCCACAGGACCCTGTGCCCCCACGGCCCGGGCTACACCGCTGAAGGCCAAGGTGGGTGGCGAGTTTGTTCATGGTCGTGTCTGTGGCCCGGAGGGTGCTAGGGCGTGCGAGCCAGTGGGAACCGGGGCCCATTCGTTGCTGTGTGTGTGCGTGAACTGGGGTGACGGGGTGAGCAGGGGTGTGAGCAGGTGTGTGAGACAATGTGTTCTTTGTTCTCTGCGGGCTCGTGGATGAGCCTGCGGAAGCGTGTGAGCTGGTGTGCCTTCCCTTTGTGAGCAAGCTCGGTCATGAGGGTGTTTCCGTGTGTTCTTGAGTGTGTGAGCGTGTTAGTGAGCATGCGTGTGTGCCGGTGAGGGGAGGAGCTGGTGTGTGTTTCGTGCACGCTGGCTGCAGGAGGAGGACGTACCAAAAGGTGGCTGAGAGGGACTGAGCCCATCCGTGCATTTTGGAGTCTAGCAAGGGTCTGTGAGGGTGGGTGCGTGTGTGAGTGAGTGTGAGTGTTTCTCTGCACGAGTCTGTCTCCTCCGGCGTGTCAGTGAGGGTGACACAGGTCATCCCTAGGGAGCAGCTGTGACACCGAGGGCTGAGGAGGAAGTGCCTTTGCAAGGGTGTGTCTGGGGGGGGGACCGAGGAATCCCTGAGTGTGTGTCGCTGTGATTCTGCAGGAGCGTCAGCGTGTGACTGGTGTGCAGTGCATGTGTAATCTCTGTGCTTCCACGTTTGTGTGGGTGCCCTGGTGAGGCTGTGGGGAGGGTGTGTCCCCCCGCTGCCAGGTGTCCTCAGTGTGTGGTGGAAGGAGCTCCGTTAGTGTTTCCTGCTGGCAGAGGTATGACTCACAGTCAAAGGGTGGGCTCTCCAGGGTCAGTAGAGGCTGGCCTTGCCCCAGGGGGAGGGCTGGTGGACACAAGGGTGGAGGTGTGCCCCAGTGCCCCAAGGCGGCCAGCGCAGCTGAGCCCTGCGTGTCCCCCCAGATGTGGACGAGTGCCACATGCTTGCTCACCTGTGCCCCCATGGTGAGTGCATCAACAGCCTTGGCTCCTTCCACTGTCGCTGCCAGTTTGGGTATACGTCAGATGCTGCTGCCACAGCCTGTCTGGGTGAGCCTGCCCACCCCCGTCCCCTGGCCCCGCCCCTTTGCACAGCACCAGAGCATCCCTGGTCCTGCCCCCTGCCCCAGCCCCATCTGGGCCACTTCCCTCCTGGTATTTTGTGCATCCTGAGATTTTCAGTTACACCGTGTAGCAGATGTTCACCTAAGTCAGGGATCAGCAAACTCCAGCTCAGGGGACCAGTCCGGCCCTCCACTTGTTTTTGTTAATAAAGTTTTATTGGCACACAGCCATGCCTATTTGTTTCCCTTCCCGCTATGGCTGCTCTCCCACGCCACAAAGGCAGAGTTGAGTAGTTGGAACTGAAACCACGTGGCCCGCAGAGCCAAACATGTTTATTCTCTGGCTTTTTATGGAAAACGGGCCAATTCCTTGTGTAAGCCCATAGAGTCTGCTTGGTTAGGGCCTGAGTGGAGGCCCCAGGCTCTGAGCCTCTGGGAACATCTGTCTGATCCCCCTGCATGCTGCTGACCCTCTAGATGTAGATGAGTGTGGCCAGGCCCCCACACCATGCGCCTTCCTCTGCAAAAACACTGAGGGCGGCTTCCTGTGTGCCTGCCCCCGAGGCTACCTGCTGGAGGAGGACGGCAAGACCTGCAGAGGTGAGGGCCCCCCCCAGGCCCCGTGGGGCTCCATCCCTGGCCCCCCAGGGATGCCCCGGGCTCGTCCCCTCCACCCCACTGCGTGGCGTTGGACGCCAACCTTGGGGTCTTGCCCCTGGGAAGCCCCCAGCCCCGGGGGGGCCCTGCCCTGAGCCTGCGGGGACCATCTGTGCCGCAGACCTGGACGAGTGCTCCTCTAGGCAACACAACTGCCAGTTTTTCTGCGCCAACACCATCGGCTCCTTCACCTGCCGCTGTCCCCCCGGCTTCACGCAGCACCACCAGGCCTGCCTTGGTGAGTCCTCCCACCCCTCCCTGCAGCTGATGCGTGGCGCCGGCCTTCACTCGTTTCCCAGATACGTAGCAAGCGCCGAGTCTGTGCCAGACATCAGGGACAGAGGGTGATTGGAGCAAAGCCCGTGCTCTGTGGGTGCTCATATCCTGGTGGCAGTCTCCTTCCTCACCCTGGGGACGTGGGAGGCCCGCCCTGAAGAGTCCCTCTGACCTTGGCCCAGGAGACCCACTTTTGCCCCTGACTACTCCCTGCTGGGTCTCTCTCCTAGGGTCTCCCCAGGGTGCTCCGGAAAGCCTGGGGGCTCACAGGGTCCAGAGGGGAAGTTGGTTCAGAAGCCAAAGCTGCAGGGGCATCTGCCGCTCCCATCGCTTTTTAGTGTGAAAGAATCAGACTCCCGCTGAGGGCCAAGCCCAGCCCTGGGTGGCCCCATTCAGGCTCCCACTAACCCACTCAGCCCACACCTACTGAGACCTCCTATGTACCAGGCAGTGCTCTAGGCCAGAGGGCTGCCCACGCCAATCGCCTAGGTCAGGCCCAGCCCCCTACTTGCTTTTGTTAATAAAGTTTTATTGGCACGCAGTCACGCCCATTCATTTACATACAGTCTGTGGCTGTTTTTGAGCTACAAGAGCAGAGCCAGAGCCAAGTAGCTGCAACAAAGTCACACGTATTTTTCCTAGCTGTCCCTTTGCAGAAGCGATTTGCCTAGGCCTGTCCTAAACCCCGAGGGCGTAGCAGTGCACACAAGAGCAAGCTTGCTGTGCCGCAGATTGTCCCCACTAGCAGGGCATCCAGGCAGAAGCAGACAGTAAGTTAACACCAGCGTGTGTTGGAAGGCGACGCGTGGCGCGAAAGAAGGAAAACATAAAGCAGAGTAACGAGATCGGGAAGGCTGCAGTATTTCACGTAGGCGTCAGGAGAAGCCTCGTCAAAAGGGACATTTGTACAAAGGGCAGAAGGAGGTGCTGGAGCGAGTTGTGTGCCCATCTGGGAAGAGCCTTGTGAGCCTTGAAACAAGCTGCATTTTTCGTTCTCTGCACGGTTATTTTCTCTGTCCCCGAAGATGCGCACACCTAACGAGGGCAGCTCAGTGCGCGTACACGTGCGGGCCCTGCACACGGCCCATGCGTGCCATGCACCGGGCAAGCTCACGTGAGACTCCTCTCCCACAGATCGAGGGCTCCGGGTCATTCCTCACTCACACCCGCATAGCCTGTACTCCTTGTGGGTGGGCTTAGGCTGACTGGATCAGGGGTCGCCAATGTTTTTCTATCAAAAGTCCAACAGTACATCTTTTCAGCTTTGTGGTCCATGCGGCCTTTGTGGAGAACACTCAGCCCTGCCCTTGTAGATCAAAAACAGCCACAGACGGTGCATCATAAACGAATGGGCAAAGCCGTGTGCCAATGAAATGCATTTACAAAAAAACAGGCAGCGGGCCAGATTTGGGTCTCAGAGCCTCTGTTTGCTGATGCCTGAACTAGAAGATCAAACTTACATGACCACAGTAGGGCCCCTCACCCTTGGTTTGCTTTGCTGGATGCAAGGGAGAGAAACCGCCGTAGCGCCCGATGCTTCTCTCTGGTGGGATCCCGGCAGGAATCCCGGGCTGGTCTCTGCGGCCCCTCAAGGGACAGCTCGGACATGAGGGATGAGCCCACAAGCAGATACAGGAGCCACCCTGGCTTAGAAGCCCCATGTCCCCAGTGTCTCTTGCACCCAAGAGAGAGTCCAAGTCCCTAATGGGAAGTGTCTAGGGTCAAGAATCTTCATACTCTAGGAAGCCAAAACTAGGGTTGCCCGCCAGAAATAAACCACCAGTGTGGGCCATTACCACCATAACCAGCCGTGTCTGGGCTTGCCCTGCTGTCACAAAACACCCTAGACCGGCGTGGGGGGCGGCGTTTAAACAGTAGACACTTACTGCTCACAGTTCTAGAGCCTGGAAGTCCAAGGTCAGGGTGCCGGGACAGTCGGTTTCTGGTAAGGACTCTTACCAGCTGCCTCCTCTCTGTGGCTCACAAGGCAGAGAGAGAGAGAGCAAGGTCTTGGGTGTCTCTTCCTACAAGTCACCCCCTCCTGAGCCCACAGAGGGTAAGTCGGCCACCCCAGGTCACACAGCTTTGGAGGCAATGCCGATGAGAGTCGAATGAAGTCCTATACGTGCATGATCTTGAATGTTCGGGACAGTTCTGGGAGGTGGGGACGGTTACAGATCTCATTTCACAGAAGGAGAAACTGAGGCACAGAGCGGGACAGTGACTTGCCCGAAGCCAAACCGTTGATCGGGCGGTGGGCCCGGCACGGTGGTGCCCGACCCGAATCCCCTAACCGTTAGGCCGTCCTGCCCGTTCCCTGTCCCCTGCAGACAATGACGAGTGCTTGGCTCAGCCTGGCCCGTGTGGCACCCACGGGCGCTGTCACAACACGCCCGGCAGCTTCCGCTGTGAGTGCCACCAAGGCTTCGCCCCGGACAGCTCAGGCCGAGGCTGTGAAGGTAGAGCTGGGCTCTGGGTGGGGTCCGGGCCTGGGATGTGGTCCAGGGGGCCGCCAGGCAAGCCGTCTGGCCCTGTCCGTGTCTCGCAGACGTGGATGAGTGTGACGGGCCCCATCGCTGCCCGCATGGCTGTCAGAACGAGCTGGGGGGCTACCGCTGTGGCTGTCCCCAGGGCTTCACCCCGCACTCCCAGTGGAGCCAGTGTGTGGGTGAGTGTCCAGGGCTGGGAGGAAGCTGGGGCCCCCCATCAGAATCTGTCCAAAGCAGGCAACCAGGAACCACCCCCATCTGGGTCGTGCACCCCCCACCTCCACTGCTGGGGAGGCGCAGGGCAAGCTTGGCAAAGCTCAAGTCCACTTTTTAGGGAGTGGTGGCCTGGGGGGCTCAGCTGAGAAGGATTCTGAGTCAGTACCTGTGATCACTGGGAAAGAGTGCTGGGATTGATTAGTGATGCCTGCTCCGGGTGTGGCAATGGGGACCAGGGGCGTGCATGCTGCGTCTTTGCCATAGCCGTTGCAGAGGCCCTCAGTCTGGGGGACTAGCCTTCTGCACCCCGAACTTCTCCATCACATGCTTCTCTTTGTGCTCCAGCCCTCCTCACGGCAGCCTCATCCTTGCCACGTCTCTCTGCTCCTCCCCTACAGTCTGGCTTTCACTCTCTACCCTTGTTGGGCCTACTCTTTGGAGACCCCTCCACCTCCCCTGTTCTGGGCACCACTACCTGCTCCTCCTGGACACTCTCCTCCCTCCGCCTCTATGACGCGGCTGCCCCTGCCCTCCCACCGCCTCTCTGACACTCCTTTCTCCCTGGTTCCTCCTCCCGCCCCTGATGGTGGGTCCTCGGCTACGTTCTCCATCTTTGCCCTGCCCTGCAGCAGTTGGCCCTTGGGGACGGCACACACCTTCGGCCCCGCTGCCGGTTCCTCCTGGTCGGCCTGCCTCCCCCTCTGCACACTCACGCCCTCACTCCTCCAGCTGCAGCTTGCCCCAGACCTACCTTGCGTCAGGCCCTGGGATGCAGAAGTGGGCCAAGTAGCAGACTCCCATCCCTGCTCACCGGGGTTCTCCTCTAGTGGTGGGGACCGGGATTAATTAGGCCAGGGGTTCTCAACTGGGAATGGTTCTGCCCCCTTGGGGGCATTTTGAAGGGTCTTGGAGACCTTCTGCTCATCACAACTGGGAGGTGGATGCTCCTGGCATCTCGTGCGTGGAGGCCACGGGTACCACTCAATATCGTATGGTGCACGGGACAGCCCCCACCACAGAGAATGATCCAGTCCCCAGTGTCAGTTGTGCCAAGTACGAAACCTCATTCTAGATGGTCCCACAATTTAGGATTCCTGGGAAATTTTGAGAAATGCTTCGAGGGAGGATGACAGGGCTGGGGGAGTTGAGCAGTGTAGGGGTGGGGCAGACCTATGCCAGGGCTGATGGAGAGCCTGATGGAGGGTGACACTGACCCAGGGCTCTGAAGGAGGAGCCGGAGTTAACTGCGTGGGGACCGGGAGTGCTGTGGGCAGGGGCTTTGGGGGTGCAAAAGCCGCCCCCCCACGTTCTCTCTCTCTTGCTGTCCCCACTCACAGACGAAAACGAGTGTGCGCTGTCCCCTGCGGCCTGTGGCAGCGCCTCCTGCCACAACATGCTGGGCGGCTTCCGCTGCGTCTGCCCCTCTGGCTTTGACTTTGACCAGGCCCTGGGGGGCTGCCAGGACCTAGATGAGTGTGCCGCCCGGGGAGGCCCCTGTAGCTACAGCTGCACCAACACCCCTGGCGGCTTCCTGTGTGGCTGTCCCCAAGGCTACTTCCGGGCCGGGCAAGGGTGAGGGGCTGGAGCGGGGCAGGCAGAGTCCCCAACCCCGTGAGAGCGCGCACACGCACACACACGTGTCCACGCACGCAGGCCATTTGCACACGTGTGCACAGAGACCTGGGCACCCACAGCACACGTGTGGGTGCACACGCGAGCTCACACCCCATTTTGGTGTGATTGCTTGCATGGTGCTCCTATATATTTGCACATGCACAACGGTAGGTGCACACTCTCTGTGATACCCTCGAGCCTCTGCACGACTCACACCTACACTGACACGCCTGGGTACCTTATGCATCCGTATGTCTCAGTGTCCACGTGTGTGCACATAATACACACCAGCAGCCGGGGTGCCTGCAGGTTCACATCTCTGCCCGGGTGAGCTAAGGGATGCGTGCACACACGCACACGTCCTTTGTGCATGCGCACGCAAAGGCTCACCCGCACATTTACACACCAGCACCCGTCCCCACGGGCAGTGTGGCTCTGAATGGAGAGTGGGGGCTGGAGGGGGTGCGGGGGAGATCCCACCAGCCTGCGCCTGAAGACCCACCACCCCCTTGTCCTGGCCCAGGCACTGTGTCTCTGGCCTGGGCTTCAGCCCTGGACCCCAGGAGGCCCCAGACGAGGAGGAGCTGCTCTCATCCGAAGCCTGCTATGAATGCAAGATCAATGGCCTCGCCCCTCGTGACCGGCCACAGCGCAGCGCCTACGGGGGCCACCAGGTGGGGAGAAGGAAGGCAGAAGTGGGATAGGAATGCTGGGTCTGAGGGGCTTTCAGTATTGGATTTAACTAAATATGAGTGTATTACTTTGTCCTATCCCCCCTTTTTCTCCCCTTTCCTATTGTTGCCATTGTTTTCTGTAAGCTTCTCAAAGGTAGGGCCCTGTGCCTGTAAGAGTGAGTGCAGTGGTTGTCGGGGCTCCTGGGCTGGGCGCCCGTGGATCTGGGTGGAGGGGGGCTGCCCCCTTCCCCCCATTCCCCTGCACCCTCCCCGGCTTTGCCTGCAATACCCAAGACTGCCAGCAGGTGTCAGCAAGAGCACATGTCTGAGCAACACTGCCGGGTAGTGGGGGAGGGCTGAAGTCTCCAGACCGGAGGGGCAGGGAAACAGGACTAGCTTTCACATTAACACAACCACAAAGCAGCCCCCCCCAACATGTAAATGAGGCGGAACAAATAGCAGTGCCCAGAGCCAAGGAGAAGAAAGTCCTCCTGTAGGACTGGCTACGTCACCCGGTCCCGGTTAGCCTGCCATTGAGGCCACTGGCTCATTCAGGGCCCTGTCCGGCTGCCAGGACCAGGAGCGCACTCAGAGCAGTTCACATAAAGAGGGGTTTGTCATCTGCACACAGGGTGCTCTCAAAGAGCCCAGATGCAGGAAGCGTCGCAAACCCCCCCACCCCGGGAACCGGAAGGCTATTGGGCAGCTCCTCTCTTGTGGCCCCTATCCACTGCATTCCCATTCTCCCCGCCTCTGACCGGCACCTGCCTGGTCTTTGTCCACAGGTGAGCCTGGCCAGCCTTGACTCGGAGGCCCCACTGACCTTGGGCCTGAACCTCTCACGCCTGGGCGGGGCTGAGCACATTCTGGAGCTGCGGCCAGCCCTGGAGAGCCTGCGGGGACGGGTCCGCTATGTCATTGCCCGTGGCAATGGGCCAGGTTTCTTCCGCATGCATCACCTCCGGGGCCTCAGCTCCCTGCAGCTGGGGCGACGGAGGCCAGGGCCTGGAACCTACCAGCTGGAGGTGGTGAGCGTGGCAGGGCCCTGGGGCACCTGGCCGAAGGGGCAGCTGACACCAGGGGGCGGGGCCTTGCGGCTGAAGGTGCATCTGCGGCTGCTGTAACTGGAAGGAGCCCGCACCTCCTGCCTGACCTCAGGCCCCTCCCGCAGCCCCCTCTCTGGAGTCCCTGCATGCGCACTGCCCCATCCTTGCCTCTTCCGGCAGGATTTGGGGGAAACTGATGTCACTCAGCTCACTGCACACCGCAGAGAGACCCTGGTGACCCTGGTGAAGCCTTGGCCTCGGGTGCGCCCCAGGGCCCCCCATTCATCCTCTTCTCCTGAACGGCAGATTCTGGAGTTGGGGGGCTACCGATCCCACCAGCAATGGGATCACTGACCAGGTGGAACCCCAAAACTCAGGAAGAGTAAAATGTGATTCTGCGACCTCAGGCGAACCCAGCCTCTGCCCAGGGGGACCCCAACATTGCGCCTTGTCTGGAGACAGCTGGAAGCCATGGCATGCACCGCCCTCCTCCACCAACCAGGGTCAAGGAGGGGCCTGTGATTCACCGTAGCTGGTCAGTCTCAGGCTTACACTGCTGCACTGCCCCAGGGCTCACCCCTGGGGCGTGGTGGGACATGGGAACGGACAGCTGGGGTGGGCCTGGGCCTTGGCCCTCCGAGCCAAAGAGCCTCTGGGGCCCCAGCCAGAGTTGGTGACACGCAGCCATGCTCGAGCCCCCGGTGGGGTGGGCTAGGGTTCCAGCCTGCTTTTATATCAGAAGCAGAGACAACAATAAAGTTATTTTGGGTTGAGTCTGCCCCTTTGGCATGTTCTGGAAGTCAGGAGATGCTGCCCTCAGCAGGGCCAGGCCGGGCTCACAGGTCGGGGAGCAGGAGGCCCTGGAGGGTAGGATAGACTTCAGCCTGGGGCTCGGAGGAGAAACCATGCAGGTGAGACACGGGAAGGCCACTGTCCACCTGGGGGTGGGGGACATGGTCCCAGGGTGCAGGCAGGTTCTGTGAACTTCAGACCCGTGAGTGGCACAAGGCCAGGCTGATGGTGGCCACCCCTGGAAGCCCTTGCGGGTTCACCGATCCTGACGACAACGGCTCATGCTTCCTGACCACGTATGATGTGCCAGGCGCCGTTCCAAGTATTTTCCCATTGTCAACCCATTTACTAGTCCTTGCAACCGCCTGGAATAGAGGCTGTTGTGCTCATCCCCATTTCACCGATTGGAAAGCAGGCTTACGGAGGTGAAGGTGACGCCCGGTGGCAGGCAGCAGAGCCCGCGTCCGTCCCGGGAGAGCGTGGCTGTGCAGTCAGCGTGTGAGGACGCTGTGCTTGTCAGACGGCACATTTATTTTTTTTAAGTTTGCTTACTTATTTTTTTAGTAATCGCTACACCCAGTGTGGGGCTGGAGCTCACGACCCCGAGGTCCAGAGTCACACGCGCTCCTGACTGAGCCAGCCAGGCACCCCAGAGAGTAGAGCATTGGGTCCCCGCTGACTTGTCTGAGAAAATCGGCGATATCACCCATTTTACAGGGGGCGGAACCAAGGCTTAGAGAGTTTGTAGAATCTGCCCGAATCGCCTCCACAGCCTAGCGGGGCCTGGGTGTGACCCATCAGCCCCCAAACCGCCTCTTGTCCTCTAGAGAGGGAGCATTTGGTTTTCATCTGGAATGTTCTCTCTCGTGGTGGAAACAGACCGCCCGGGGAGAGGACAGTTGGATGGCTTGAGTCTGGCTGAGTGACCTGAATGTGGCCCTGCCTCTCCCTGCAGGATGGTCACTGGTGCCTGGTCCCAGGGCTCTGTTCCTGGCCTACTTCTGGTCCCCCTGACCCAACCGGAGCTTCTCTGGACCCCTGTCAGAGCTTGCAGAGGGCTCCTCCGCATTAGCCAGCCTCACTACAGCCCAGGGAGCTGAGCAGAACAAGCACAGTGAGCCCCGTTTTAGAGGCAAGGAAAGAGGCGCCAAGAGAGCAAGGGGTTTGCTCAAGGTCACCAACTGGACTCGAACCCGGGTCTGCAGCCAGCATGTCCCCTGGGAGCCATCAGCTGTGAGGATTGCCAGCACAGATCTGGGGGTGGGATGGTCACGTGGGATTCAACACAGGCGGGGGCAGCAGCTCATACCCCAAACTGAAACGCGACAGGCATGGCATCTCATCAAAGGTTTATTTAAAAAACTATAGAAAAGCAGCCTGGGAGAAGTGTCCTGGGATGGACTGGTGCTTTGCAAGGACCCAGAGGGACCCGGCAGGTGTGGCCCAGGGTGGGTGGCAAGAGGCTGCAGGCGGGCAATGTATTCCGGTGATCCTCTACAAGACCCATAGCTTAGCGCAGACTCTGGCTCCTGGAGCAGGCAAGAGGGCTTGAAGTAAGGTCAGCTCTCTCCTTCCAGCTGCCTGAGGAGCGGGATGGGGCAGGGGTGATGGGAGGGAGCCAACTGCAGGCTCAGGCACAGGACTGAATTTGGCCCGAATGACAGGGAGGCTGGGGCACCCGGAGCCGCAGGGGACTGTTGCAGTGGAGGAAGGTCCAGCCCATCTTGCACTGGGCTAATCCTGGAGATGTGTCGGCTCACGGTCCTGCAGGGGGGATTGGAGAGGTCGGCAGGTGACGGGGACTGGAGTGGAGCTGGGGGCCCTGCAGCTGTTGGTCCGCACACCTGACATTTCATTGCAGCACTTGCTGAAGCCCCCTAGGCTGGGTTAGGGCAGTAAACAGCCCCCTGAGTGTCAGCCTGCAGGGCTGACCACAGAACCAGCCTCCTTGGTCCTGGAAGGGAGTCCCCTCACCCAGTCTGTGCTGATCATGAGCCTTCATCCCTCAGCAGTGGTGATGGGTGGGGGATGGTCACATGATCAGAGTCCTTACCTGGATTAGCATTTGTCAGGAGGGTAGTTTTCCTTGTCGCTTCTGGTGAACCTGCTAAGCTTGGGCAGCGGCAGCTTGGAGATTCCAGTGCTCGACTTCCTAGCTCCAAAGAGGATGACTGTACAAGAGAGAAAGAAATAGATAAGAACTCCACCAATACGGGCGCCTGGGTGGCTCAGTTGGTTGGGCAACTGCCTTTGGCTCAGGTCATGATCCTGGAGTCCCGGGATCGAGTCCCGCATCGGGCTCCCTGCTCGGCAGGGAGTCTGCTTGCCCTCTGACCCTATCCCCTCTCGTGTGTTCTCTCTCATTCTCTCTCTCTCAAAATAAATAAATAAAATCTTTGAAAAAAAAAAAAAAAAAAGAACTCCACCAATACTCTCTGAGCACCTGGATCCAGCCAAGCCTGAAGCCGTTGGCTAGTTACTTGAGCCGATGAGTTTCCCATTTGCTTGCGTTTGCCATTTCTAACAATGGAAAAAGTCTTGGCTAAAAGAGTTGTTCATTCACTCAGTCTCCACTCACCAGCAATCGGCGGGTCCTCTTTGGGGCGGCGGCAGCTGTCACCATGCTGGACTTCGATCCCCTCCTTTGGGGGTTGAGGAGCCCAGGGGCCCACAGCAGGGAGGTGGAGGCCCCCTGGAGGCTGGGCATGGGTCTCACCCACCTTGCAAGCGTCTCCAGTGGCGCTTTGAGAGGGTCTTGTTCCCAGCATCCAGGAAGTCTACCATCTTCGGCACCCAGCTGTCCCGTGGGTTCGCACACAGGGTCTTGTTTTTCGGGAAGAAGAATCTGGGGGGTGGGGTGGGGGAGCGGGTCCCCACGTTAGGGTGTGAGCGGGGAGCAAAGCTGTGTAGGAGACTCCCCCTGCCCACGCCAGCCTCCCACAGTCCCACTCACATCACAGCAGGCAGGTTGCAGCTGCCGCTCACTTCTTGGCGCCGATAACTCCGGGCGTGCCGGAGGAAGCCAGGCTGAACACGGGAGTGGTAGGCCAGGCAGCAGTCCTCAGAGACACCTGCAAGCACGGCCAGAGCTCACGTCTCTGTGTGCACATGCGCTCTGCACGGGCTGCCCCAGACGCAGGCACCCCAAAACAGACCACAGCCCTCCCAGCCCAGGTGAGAAGGAGGCCAACGCGGCTCCCCTTTGGCTCCTGATATGGGGACGGCTGGCAGGAGTTGGAGGGGGTCCACAGTCCCGGGCTGGGAAGGGCCCAGGACCACACAATGAATGAGGGACCAAAGCCACTTCTGCTCTGGGGCGGAGGGCAAGGGGTGCAGATGGAGCGCCCCGAGGAGGCGCCGGGGGCCACCACGCCCAGCCCAGGCCCTCCTAAAATGAACGGTCTGGCCGTCGCTCCTGACGCCCCAAGTCCTGCTCAGCCTGGCCCTCCCCCACCTAGGGCCATCTCAAGGGCCTCTGCCCTTCTGTCCCCAGCAGAGTGACCACCCAGTCAGCGGGCCAGAAACCAGGAGGTCTCTGTTCATTTACTGATTGCTTGAAAAAAGCATTTCGAGTTCCTACTAGGTGCCAGATGTGTAGACAAACACAGAGGGGGATTGGACATGGGGCTCTCTCAGCTTGGTGGGGAGACCCAGGGGTCGGTCTGTGCTGGGAGGGGGGAAGAGCAGGGACCTGGAGCGGGGCGGGCTTGGAAGAAGAGGTGTGCCGGCAGGGCCTGGGAGCATGAGCAGGTGGAATTGATGAGACAGACAGTGAGAGGCCTTCAAGGCCCTGTGGGATCCATCCCTCAGCTGACCCCTGCCTCCAGGCACCACACCTGAGTTCTGGCCAAGTGCAGTAGGAAGGATGGGGGAGGACTTTAGTGCTCCCCTGCATTTCCAAGCCTTGGCCCCAGAGGGCAAGGGGCAGGGGTGCTGGATGGACCCTCGGTTGCAGTACCAGGCAGGCCGGGGGCCACTCTGCCCCCAGGATCAAAGGGCCCCAAGCTGGGCCTGGCTCCTGGAATGGGCCTCTGATAGCAGGACAATGGGAATGAAGCCCAGCCCAATCCTGGGCAAAGGTAAGGTCTGCTGGAAGCTAGGGCCTCTCAGACCTAGTGACGGGCAGGTGGGGCAGGTAGGGCAGGTGGCGGGGAAGGGGGCTCTGGGGCTTTGACCAAGCCAGGGACCCTGCTCAGCCAGCTGCTGGGGCTCAGCCTCCTCCCCTGGAGCCCTGTCCTATATCCTGGGGTTGCAAGACATAGTGGCCGGGCTCTTGGTGGATACTGTATGCACCAAATCCTCAGCTGCCTAATGGAGGGAGAAGTGGGAAGGGACTCCCCATTAATAACAGTAATGGTTATCACTGTTGTTGCCCAGGCACTGGGCCAAGAGTTTTGCAAATATCAGCCCATTGGATTCTCATGTCCTATCTCCACAGGGGGATTTCAGAGCCCCACTTTGCAGATGAGGAAACTGAGGCTCATGAAGACTGAGTAGTAACTCTCAGCACACAGGTAGCCTGTGGGTGGGGGGACGACTCACTCCTGTTGGGTCACATCACTGCAGTGTGTCCCTAGATCTGCCACCACTGGGAGCCACCCTTGCTCCCCACAGTCCCTGGGCTGGCTAGAGTCCTGGCAGGGAGGCCTTGGGTCTCGGACCGTGGAGGAGGCACCACAGGGGCTCTGGAAGGAGGAGCTGGGGGGCCTGCACCCCCAGGAAGCTGCACAAATGCCAGGAGTTTCTACAGCCCTGGGGCGGGAGCTGTCTGTCAGAATTCGGTGGTGGAGAGGGAACGGGGAAGGCTTCTGGAAGAGGGGAGGGGCGAATGGGGGAGGGCAGGAAGGATGGGGGGGGGAGGGCTCCCAGGAGGCACAGGAGGTATGGCCCAAGACATTACCTTGAGCATGAATAGTAGACCAGGCGCCCACCAAGCTGGCCACCAGGCAGAGCACGAGCCACGGGTTCATAGTGCAGGCTGCTCTTCCTCCTCGGGTGTCTTGAGGAATAATGGGAGAGGTGGAGGTGATGAGGCCCCAAAATGGACAGCAGCGGGCACTGGGAACACCCCCATCTCAAGTCCGACACCCAGGGCCCTCTGCACAGGACAGGTGGTGTTGGCGCGGCCTGCGGCTGGTCTCTGCCAAGATCGGAGACCGGGGCGGCGGGAGCGCGGAGAGGGGCAGGACTCACCAACGCCTGCGGGGTCCCAGGAGCCGGTACCTGCTGGGGTGACTCCACGCTCTCCTGCCCGGCAGGCCAGCAAGCCTCACAGCCTTTATAGATGGAGCCCCACCCTGCGGCCTGCTCTCCTCCCCCCTCCCCCCTCCTTCCCCACTTCCCCTCCGCCTTGGGCTTCTCCCAGTTTCTCTTTCTAGCTCCTCTCTCCCATGTCAAGGTGCACCTGGAGGGAGTTAGTGGTAGGCACCCGGGGACAAGAGGACCTACTTCAAAGAGCTGGCAGGAAACACCGACTTTCTCAACTACGGGGATGTGAGACAAAGTTTGGCTCCCTTGGTGACTGGAGGCCGAACCACACAGATGGACAGATGCAGCGTGCCCAGGCCATCTGAAGGCTGGCTGCCTGGGGACCCCTCCCTTGACTGCCTCCCCCATCCAGTCCTCTCAGTCAGCGCCCCTGCTTTCTCCCCCAAAGGACCCTCTCTCCTCCCCGCATTCCCTCTCCTGCGGCACACTAGGGCGCACACCGGCTTCCCGCAGACAGGCCTCAGGCGGCCTAGAGCCCCTGCCTTGCTCCCTGCTCCGAAGCCACCTGTTCCCGTGGGGCCCTGACTTCACCCCACTTTTCTCTCCTTCCCCACAATGGGGAGCCTTACAGTTCTGCAGAAATGCCCTGGTTTTGAGAACAGGCAAATCCACAGAAGCAGAAAATAAAATCAGTCATTGCCATGGGCTGGGAGGGGAGAACGGGGGGTTCGTAACTCTGTGAATATAGTAAACCCATGAAACTTACACTTTCTTTTTTTTTTTTAAAGATTTTATTTTATCTTTTTTTAAACATTTATTTGAGAGAGAGACAGAGCTTGTGCGCACAGCGGGGAGAGGGGCAGAGGGAGAGGGAAAGAGAGAATCCTCAAGCCGACGACCCCCTGAACCCAGAGCCCCAAGTGGGTCTGATTCCAAGACCCTGAGATCATGACCTGAGCCGAAATCAAGAGTCAGACACTTAACTGACTGAGCCAGCCAGGTGCCCCTAAAGACTTTGTTTTTAAGTGATTTCTCCACCCGGCGTGGAGCTTGAATCCGCAGCCCTGAGATCAAGAGTCGCACGCAGGCCCCACCGACTGAGCCAGCCAGGCGCCCCTGGAACCTTACACTTCCAGTGGGTGCAGTGTAAGGTATGTGAATTTTCTCAAATATTAGCTGGGGAAAATGTTATGAACAACCACCAGAACAAAGAAATGCTCTAGTTTTGGAAGAAATGCCCGTATTACCTGGGGTACCACGGCGGCAAGAAGAAAAGCAAAACCCATCCAGAAGGCATTTTTTTCCTTCCCTGGGTCGACGTGGCTCACCGGGTCAAAGGCGCCACGGTGGGCGTGGGCGGTTGTAGCGGGAAGGGGCCTCTGCCGAGACCTCACAGCCGATTGCTTTGAACTTTTAATTTCTTATCGCCCGCATCCTTAGCTATAGATCACCCCAGGTAGTAATCACCCTCGTACCCCTTTCTCATCTCCCCGCCTCAACAGGAGCCCCTGGTGCGGACCCCGATCCCCTGGGCGGAAGCTTGTGGCTTTGGGGGCGGGGCTTTGGCGCGGGGCGGGGCCTAGGCCGGGGCGGAGCCTACGAGCCCTGCCCCGCCC